CATTTTAAAATTTATACCGTGATTCAGGCATGATTCAAGCTCTTCTCAAAAGAATGGCGGATCCGAATTGTGTTTCTGGCAGATGAACTAACTCACGTTAGGTTAACTAACTAACCTGACGTAAGTTAGTTAACCCAAGTTAGCTGCTAAGTTAATCTGAGTTAACCGCTCAGATGGCCAAAGTCTTTTACTAAGGATTTTTATTTGTGTGCTGTGAAGATCCTTATAGAGCTGTCCCCAGAATTCTGGCAAGAAAATTGGAATGAGGAAGAGGAGGAGGTACACAGATGGTACAGGGGGAAGGAGGAGGATGGCCCCAGGGCAGGCCCTTGGTGCAAGAGGGCTGTCGCACGCCCAGAGGCAAAGCAGGAGGAAGGGAACGAGACGGTGCCTGAGACAGAGAGGACGGGTCTTTTTAAAGTTGTCTGTTTGCTTCAGTTAGTTTAGAAATGGCATTTTGTAAAGACGAGATTTTTAAAATCCTGACTATGTTTGAAACCCCCCAGGTACCAACTGAAATAGGCATCCCATTTGGTTGTCTTTATAAGCCTTTTCCAATTGTGCACGCAAGTAAACTAGCTGTAGGACATCAAAAGTGTCCATTTTGACCAATGAAGTTTTAAATCATCTTGGGTAATTTGATCCAATGGGGCAAAAATTCACAGCAAGAAAGACCGTATTCCTTAACATAAATACTGCAGGAGTTGCAATAGGGGGCTGAATATTAGAAGCTCCTTAGAAGAATTATTTCCCAGGGTGCCTGGGTGGCTCACTCGGTTGGGTAGCCGACTACGGCTCAGGTCGTGATCTCGCGGTCTGTGAGTTCGAGCCCCACGTCGGGCTCTGTGCTGACAGCTCAGAGCCTGAAGCCTACTTCGGATTCTGTGCCTCCCTCTCTTTCTGCCCCTTCCCTGCTTGGTCTCTGTCTCTCTCTCTCTCAAAAATAATAAACATTAAAAAAAATTTAAAAAAAAATTATTTCCCATAATTGAGTACTTACCAAGAACCTGAAACCCAAATATTCCATTCAGAATGAGTGAAGATGGAATCCTCCCCTCAAAAATGAGTGAGGACAGAAGCAAGCAACAGAGGACATCCAATTAAAGGCCTGAACCTTGACCAAGATGGGAGGTTCAGGACCAAGAGGATTTATCACTGTGACTTGAAGCCACCAAGGATATGTAGGAGTGCAATGGACTCTTGGTACCTGACTCAAATCCACGGCAACGCTGGAGACAGAGGTCGGGTACTTGAGATCCTACCAGCTATGCCCAGTAATGTTGATGAAGAAGAGGCTGTGAAGCAACCGGAGCGTTTATTTGGAGTTTTTGGGATTGCAATCCGGGAAACACAGGTCAACCAAAATTGACAGTGCTTTGAATTATGAGTGGGGAGTGCAGGCTTATAAAGACAAAACCTACAAGGCCATGTAACTTGTTTTGAAAGAATTATGATTGGTGGGGGGCAGAGTTTAAACTATCTAATACACAATTGACTCTTTAGCTCACAGGTGTTACATTATCTGTATTTCAGTTCAAAGTAGAAGGAGGAGTTCTGGTTGCAATTGGCAAGAGTCAGAAGTTCCCGTTGTTCTGAGAACTGAGCATTGGTCCTACTTCCTCAAGCCATTTCCACTCCATTCTGAGTGACTCTCTTAGCAATGCTTACTTCATTTGGGATCTTTTTTTCATAGCTCTTGAATAAAACTGTGTTTTATTAATGAAAACTCCAGGTAGTAAAACTGGTGAATTTCTCTAAATGACTTAAATCAGTGCCCCAGTTCTCTCTTTTACTGGATACCTGATGATATTAAGCTGGTGCAGAAAATATCTGACTGTAAAGGCCAAACTTCAGCAGGATCACAGGTAAATAGAATTTTACAATTAGAAGAATCCCTAAAGAGCCTTTTACAGATAAGAAATCTATAGTCTAGAAGTTTAATTAACTTTACCAAAATCATTCAACTTGTTTAGAGCAAAATAGGAGTCAAAGTCTATTTTCTTGGTGTCTATTGAGAAATGGTACAGGAATTATGTAGGAAATTATCAAGGAAATTTCTGGTGTTTCAATAAGGAGCCCATATTAGCAGAAAAAGGTGAAAAACAAAGTTAGTAAGGGTTTATAACCTATAGAATGCTCAGGCAGGAATCTGAAAAAATGCATACTAAATAAAGTTTAGCTTGCTTGGCCACTAATATCTGAACTGTAACTCGCAGACTTAGTTTGCTTGGTTTATAGCAGTACTTAAAAGGATCTGCTAATGCCAAACTTGATGACAATACAAAATAACATTTGAGAATGAACTATAATAATGTTTGCTGTACACACAAATGTGTGAGTGCATTTGTATATTTCTACAAATGTTATATGAGAGGTTTTATAGAATTTCAGTGTCTTTTCACTACTGGACTGAGTAATCTTGAACTGGTGTGACTCAGAAATAGTTTCGTTTTTATTTTGATCCTCTTTTCTTGGTGCTGAGATGCACTTTTCTCATGTCAGGATCCTCAGAACTAAATTTCCCTTGGTTTATGCACTTGCTCAAGGCATGGTCTTTATTACTTATATGCTTGCTCAAGACTGTATGGAAATGCTAAGGCTTTTTCATATTTTTTAGTTGGTTTCAGGGGAAGGCTTTCCTTGTTTATACCCAACAAAATATTTGCTGAGTTGAGCTGCTGTACTGTATCTATTCTAAGTGCATCATTTCATTGTTTTCTTTGGCAACTGCATTATCTGTACTTCGGCTGATATCTTCTGTGTAATATCTAAAAGTTCCTCCAGAAAGATAATCATCTTACCATACTGTCTGTATTGATGCAAGACATCATCAACTGAGAAAAGAGGCAGAACTGAAACAAAACAAAAGCACTTATTATTTCAGGTCTCAGAATTGCAATTTGGGGAGTAGAGATTTGGGTAGCAACCCAAATTATGTCCACTAGGGCACAAAAGTCAAGCGTTTTTAGAGGCAAAAAAAGAATGCTTCTTTACGTTATTTACAAAGAATTTTGTTTGGCGTTGACAGCAGAAAACTAATCTTGGCTACACATAATTGGTGGCTAAGGCTATTGCTGAGAAAAAGTCTGTTACTGTAGCGGGTTGCGGGTACTGGTAGAATCCTTGTTATATTGGTAGTTTGGCCCAATTCAAAAGTTTATGATTATACCCAGTGAGGACTTGCATAAAGCCCACATCCTAATGGCCCCTGACTCCATTTTAAAATTCCTTGACATAAGGTGAATCCATTTTATTTCACCTTTTACATTACCCAAGGTCCTTCTTGTAAAAAGAAACTTACAAATAAATGTAAATTTTAATCTGTGATAAATTCACCTTTTATATAAGCATTTTTTAGAGCTTAGAAAATAGTATATAGGTATTTCAAAATAGAAATCTTCAGTCTTTATTCACATATATGCAAATATGTTTATTAAATTTTTTTTTAATGTTTGCGAGAAAGAGACACACACAGAATGCAGGGGAGGGGTGTAGGGAGGGGATGTTAGGGGCAGAGAGAGAGGGAGACACAGAATCTGAAGCAGGCTCCAGGCTCTGAGCTGTCAACACAGAGCCCAACGTGGGGCTTGAACTCATGAACCGTGAGATCATGACCTGAAGCCAAAGTCGGATGCTCAACTGACAGAGCCACCCTATGTACGTATTTTTAAAAGGCGAGTATCACCAGGATTCTGTCACAAAATTATACACACCTTTCCAGTATATCGGTATTTTAAAAGACATTCTGTGCTGTCTATTGGATAGGATATTTTCTTTCCTTCTTACATTTTGTTCAATCAAAAGGAATTAGAAAGACTTGCTATATTGTTAAAATGTAAAGAAATAACTCTGAATTCCACCATTTGAAGAAAATTAAAGCATAGATTATATAATTCAGTTCATTTAAGTGATAAAATTTTAGTATTGGGAGAGACTTGAGAGCTCATTAATTTCACTCCATCTTGTAGAGGAGAATACAGAGTTAAGTGGTTTGACCAAATCGACATAGTACAATCGCAGCATGCTTGCTACTCAGATCTCCTAACTTTTAGCTCAGTACAATTTTCACTATGATATGTTCCTGACATGCTCCTCTTTGCTCCTAGTGACTATTTTATAGCTCTACACAACTGGTTTAAGTACCCCTCCTCAAGTTTAAGAAACTTCCTTTTATAACATTCATTGAATAATTCATATAAAAAATTCATTTTGTTCCTGTAGTTAACTGTCTAAATATTGTTCTGATAACAAAAAATGTTACTTTGTGAATATATATTAGTTGAAAAATATTTTTAAACAGTGTAATAAAAAATTTCAAACACATATGAAGGTACGGTTAATCTCTGTGTCCCCATCACCCAGATTTGAAAGTCATTGAGATTTTGGCATATTTGCTTCATCTCCTTTGTTTCTTGGCTGATGTATGTTTAAAGCAAGTCCTAGGTAGAGCATTATTGCTCACTTGTACATTTTAATATATATTTCTAAATGACGATGTTAGCCTTCTCTTTCATGACCACAATGTCATTTATCACAATTAACAAATTTAACAATAATGTGAAAATGTTTCAAACATTTATGATGCTCCTGTAGACACCATATAGTGCTTCTAGAGTGTGGTGGCCTTTTTTTTTTTTTCTTTGGCAAAGCTACAATTTGAGGGGCTTAATTCCAAAAGTAAACCAGGAAATGAAGGAGAGATTCAAGGAATTTCTGAACAGCATGCATACATATATTGTACATGTATGTAATTGTAGAATTTATCTCTCCAATTTCATTTATCTGATAAACCTTAATTTTATTTCTAAGCAAATTAGAGTCCCTATTTTTTTTTTTTTTTTTTTTTTTTTTTTTTTTTGGAGAAGCCCAATTTTCCGATGGAAAGTTTTAGGAGCAGAGAATGCTAATTTCAGACCTCAAAATATATCTCCCTACTCTGATAACTCATATACAATTTTATTAGTTTTTCATGAATGTCTTTTGATAACTCTTTCCACCAGGAAGAACAACGAAAAATAGAAGAAGAAAAAGAAAAGAAAAAAGAGAATGACATGGTATTTAAAGCATGGTTGCAAAAGAAAAGAGAGCAGGTCATAGAAATGAGGAGAATTCAGCGAGCAAAGCAAATCGAAGACATGAATAGCAGAGTAAGTAAATCTCTATGAAATGTAAGTTGATACAGATATGAAAGCTGAATTACAGGAAGAAATGAGAATATCAGAATAAGAAACTATGGAAAAAGTAGGAAAAGTGGTCCAAGAGCAACCCTTGCAAAAGATGCAACATACAGATGACTTTACAATTAAATTCTAAGAAGCCTGTGAAAATCAAATGAGTCCTATTTTATTCAGACTTTTATAGCACAGGAAATGGAAAACTACCAATATGTTTTTTCAGGATATTATAACTTTGCTATTCAAATAGGACAAAGATAGCATACACGTGCATACACACACGCACATGCACACACACACACACACACACACACACACAAACTCTACAGAATGGGTCTACTTAAGAACAGACATATGGCGTGCCTGGGTGACTCAGTCGGTTAAGCACCGGATTCTTGATTTCAGCTTGGGTATGATCTCACGGTTCATGGGATGGAGCCCCGTGTTCTCTCTCTGCCTCTCTCTTTGCCCTTCCCATGCTTGTGCTGTCTCTCAAAATAAATAAATAAACATATAAAAAACAATAGGGACGCCCGGGTGGCTCAATCGGTTGAGCGTCCGACTTTGGCTCAGGTCATGATCCTACAGTTCGTGAGTTCGAGCCCTGTGTCGGGCCCTGTGCTGACAGCTCATAGCCTGGAACTTGCTTCAGATTCTGTGTCTCCCTCTCTCTCTCTGCCCCATCCCCACTCATGCTCTGTCTCTCTCTATCTTAAAAATAAATAAAACATTAAAAATTAAAAAAAAACCAATAGACATATAGACAGATGGAGAAAAGACGAATACCGTTTGATTTCACACATAATGTAGAATCTGGAAAACAAAACAAATGAGCGAACAAAAAGAGTCAGACCTACAAATACAGAGAACAAAATGGTGGTTGCCAGCGCCGGGAGGTGAGGGTAGGGGGATGGGCAAAATGGGTGAAGGGGAATGCGAAGTACAGGCTTCCTGTTACGGAATGAATAAGTCATGGCAAGAAAAGGGTCGGCATGAGGAATCCAGTACAGGATATTGTAATAATGTTGTGTGGTAACAGATGGTAGCTACACTTGTGGTGAGCCTAGAGAGGGTGAGTCACTATGTTATCCACCCGAAAGTAATGTGACATTATCGTGTGTCACCTATACTCAAAAAAAAATTTTTTTTAAAAGAATAGATACATCTAAATCTTACATGAAAGCTAACAAAGACACCAAATTATTTAGTTTTTAAAAGTTTGAAACATTACAGGAAACCAAAGACAAAGCAAAAAACCGTCCCTATCCCTACCAATTTTTCTAAAAAGCATAGAAATAAAAAATTGAAAATTCAGTCCTGTGCCCTCCCCTGACTCATCTCCTAGTGATACGCACTTTCAGAGTGTGTGCAAGTCTTCCAAGTCTTATTTATATTTACAGTCTCACAAGTCAAAATTTTGTGATACACTTTGCTTTTTTTTCCATTTAACTCTTCAGAGACTATTTCTAGGTCATTACATTTAGATACTTATTTTCAAGTAGCTGCATAGTATTCTGTTCAGAGATAATTTATTAAATCCTCAATTGTGGGTATCCAGCTTGGCTCTGATATTGTTCTATTCACTAACAATGCTGTAGTGAACATGTTCGTTCTGTAGGAGAGTTTTTGAAGAGTGGAATCTATGACTCACTGGGTGTCCAGAGTGAAATTTTTAGTTAAATGTGCAAAAATTAACCTCCCAAAAGGTCGTATCAATTGATAGTCCCTCCAACAGTGTGTAAGAGCGAATATTTACCACATCCTGACTAACACTTTATGTGGTTTATCTTCTTAATTTTTCTTCATGAGTACATATGACCGTGTGTATATTCTGTGAATTTTCTGTTTATAGTCTTGACTGAACTTTTATAACTGAATGAAGGGGACAAGAGAAGATGTGGGGAGAGCAATTGAAAAGCAGATGTAGTTGTAGATGAGGGAGAAAGGATAGTGACTTGGGCTAGAATTGTAACAGGAGAGGGGGAGAGAGGGAGGGGGAGAAAGGGAGGGAGAGAGATATGAGTCATTTAAGATGTTCTGAAATACTGACTGGAGGAATTTTGTAATGAATTAGATATGTGTGTGAGGGAGAATGAGGTATAAAGAGAATATACCAGTTTTCTCTTCTGAGGAGCTCGGTGGATGATGGTGCCACTCACTGGAGCAGTAGAGAGTAACACACTGGTGGAGGAAACGGCTATTTCAGTTTTTCACTTGTTGAGTTTGAGGTCCCTACGAAACATCCAGGTGAAGCTGTTGAAACGTGACTGGAGAGAGATATTTTATGGCTAGCGTGGAGAATGAGAAGATTAGTGATTTCAAAGACTAATGGCCGCCCTCCATCCCCAGTTTGTGGGGATGTGGCTGTGGCTGTAGGACTGGGTGTCAAGGGCCCTGGAGAAAGGCCTAGAAGATGAGAAAATGAGAACTCTGTGAGGCTGGATGTTGAATGACCAGAGGTCGTGAAATTAAGGGAGCCAAATGGTGTAAATGTCAGATGAGTGTGGCTTTACTTAGAAGAGTAGAGGCATAGGGTTCTGAAGAGTATGAAGGAGTGTGTCCTAACCTCTGCACCTGACCTGTGAAGTACTTGAAGTTTGGCAGGAAATGCGGAGTCTGTTTGGGAGAGGAAAACTGCATCTTGGGGGAGAATCCGGATTTGGGTAACACAGGAGGTTTAAGTCCAGGGCCCTTTCGGTATCTTGTGAGAATGGACATGTTTAGGAGTTTTTATATCTTTGAATGGGAGTTACAAGGGAGAAACTAGGGAAGTTTTTGAAGGAAGCGGGGAATTCAGGCTTGGGAGGGGAGAGGCACAGCACATTGCTGTGATACTGAAAAGTATTGCAGACAAGAGGAGCGTACGTTTCAGTGACCAAGAAAAACACAGCTGTGACTGCACTGCCTGCAGTTTCCCAGGGGATGGTGGACCCTCAGGCTTCATGGCACTCAGCCCAACATAATATTTTTATAGGGTACTTATAAAAATAAACGTACGCTTCAGTGTTCTATTGTGTCCTACTTGGGGATAATAGAAACTTCGAACTGGGGGTGCCTGGGTGGCTCAGTCAGTTAAGCGTCCAAACTCAAAGTGACAAAATTCACAAAAGTTCTTGAGAATATGATTCATTTATGATATGGTTTCTCATTAAAGTTAATCTTTGAGACAGACTTCAAATCAAGAAAAAAAAAATTCCGAAGGGAAATACATAACCATGATGCCTTTTAACATGAACATTTTTTGAAATAAATTACGTTCAGCCATGGTTCATGTTTTTAAAGAATACAATTCAGAACTTCTTTTTAAAGAAAAATATTTATTTATTTATGTATTTATTTATTTATTTGGAGAGAGAAAGAGAGAGAGGGAGAGCAAGCATGAGTGGGGGAGGGGCAGAGAGAGGGAGAGAGAATCCCCAGAATAGATTGTGTCCGTTATGCTTAGAAACCTCCAGTGGCTTCTCGTCTCAAAATAAAACCCAGTGTTCCTGCCGTCGCGTCCCATAGCCTTCTTTCACTTCGTCTCCTACCACTTTCCAGCCACTTTGCCATAGCTTCACTTTCACTTCTTTGCTGTTTATTGAGCATACCACAGTCTCTTCTCAGATCGTTCGCTCTTACTGTTACCATTGCTTGACATACCCTTCCTCCAGACAGCCAATAACTTACCCCCTCTCTTTCTGTCTACATACCATCTTTCTCCTCACCTCCCCCATATTTCTCTCTCCCCTCACCATACTTGTCTTTTGAATCTGACCTATCAATCGATCGATCCTCTGTTTTCATCTCCTCATCTAGAGTAACACTGCCCGGTACAACTTTCTGTGATGATGGAAATGCTGTTTGTGCCGTCCAGTAAAGTAGCCACTAGCCACAACATGGCTATTAAGCGCTTGAGATGTAGCTAATGTGAGTGAAGTACTGAATTTTAAATTTTATTTAAGTAGCTGCGTGTGACGAGGACCACTGTGTCGTGCAATCACAGAATACGAAGAGGGGGAACCTCGTTTTTTTCACCGATGCAGCCCCGTACCAGTGTGCCTGTATATACTGTATGTGGTAGACAGCTGTAAGTGCTGAATGAATAAATGAACAGAGATACCAGTAAATCCTGGTCACCTCTGAATCCTTCACTCTCTTGATCTCGAATTCCAGCGTGAACCCTTTTTAGTCATCTCCAGCCCTTCCCAGGCTTCTAGGTGTTCAGCGATGATCCTTAGGTCCATGGGTCCTCTTCACAAACTTCAGCATTGCAAATCAAAGATCCTAGGTTACATAAATTATATAAATTAAAATGGAACCTACTTGGCAATGGGAGTGAAAGATAAAGGAAAATGCAAGATGAAAGAAGTGTATGCTCTGTATCATAGAGCTCATGTTCGGGGAAAGTATTAAATGAATACATAAAGGAAAGGTCCTTTGCGTTTTAGCCAGGCATCCATAGGATGAGACGTGCTTTCCCCTCACGCCACATCTGTCCCTTTGCTTTCTTTATTCTCTCACAGAAGAGCTCTTTCAACTGTGAAAATTCCCTGAAGATAGGATTCATTATGAAGTTTGAGGAACCGTATATACAATAAGCTACTCCCACTGGCTTTTACTTATGACAAAATCATCACGGCTGTTATCCTGATGAGAAAATTCTTATGGTTGCAAATCCTTATGGCCGCCCTCCATAAGAGTAGTTACAGTTTGGAGATGAGCTTGGTAGTTAGATGCTCTTAAAAGTTAAAAACAAAGACAGAATTTAAAAGAAAGGATGAATAACAGAAGTGTCAGATCATTAGTTTTCCAACTGCGTTCCAGGGAGCTCCTTCAGGAATTGCTACAAAGACCTCAACTCCACTCATATTGCCTATCCCAATCTTTCTTCAACCCTGTTTTATTTTTTGTGCCATTGTGAAAAATTACTTTACTTGTCAAAGGGCTCTCATCACTGAAAAGTTTGCAGATCACTGCATTTAAACCTTCTTCATTTATTGCTTACCTCAGTAAGACTTTTGAAAGGTGCTGGATGGCAATGAATACAGTGTTGGGTTTTCTGACAGGGGGCAATCAGTGGTGCGAGTCAAAGGCGATGCATTTTGTTTGGATGCTAGGAGTGCAGGTAGTGAGGTTGGCATTATTAAGAAAAATTGATGAGTGGAACACATATTCTTGTAGGGTCCTAGAGTCAGGGCCTCAAAAAAGCTGTTTTGGTGTATTGAAAATTAAATAAAGCTTGTTTTTGTAATCAGCAGGAAAACAGAGATCCACAACAAGCTTTTCGATTATGGCTTAAAAAAAAGCACGAAGAGCAGCTGAGAGAAAGAAAGACAGAAGAACTACGAAAGCAGGAGGAATGTTTATTCTTCCTTAAAGGGACCGAAGGCCGCGAAAGGGCCTTTAAACAGTAAGTCACAGGCAGGGCATGCTTCCCCTTTTCTCACAGTCATTGTAGAGAGTTATATCGTCAAGAAAGCTTGGAAAAAAAATACCACAAAATATTTTATCGCTTATATTACATATCTATTCAGTTTTAAGTCCACGCTTCTAAAACCTGAGAAAATTCTTTAGCTCCATACTATGCATTCTATCTATATACCATTCTTTCTTTCCTCAAGGTATTTTCTATTTTTTTATGTTTATTTATTTTTGGAGATGGGGGAGGGGCGGAGAGTGAGGGAGACCGAATCCCTAGTAGCTTCTGGGCTGTCAGCACAGAGCTCCATGTGGGGCTCAATCTCACGAATCGTGAGATCATGACCTGAGCTGATGATACCAAGAGTGTGACGCTTAACTGACTGAGCCACCCAGGCACCCCTCTTCAAGATATTTTCAATACCAAAATTATTTTAAATTTTTTTTTTCAACGTTTTTTAATTTATTTTTGGGACAGAGAGAGAGCATGAACGGGGGAGGGGCAGAGAGAGAGGGAGACACAGAATCGGAAACAGGCTCCAGGCTCTGAGCCATCAACCCAGAGCCCGACGCGGGGCTCGAACTCACGGACCGCGAGATCGTGACCTGGCTGAAGTCGGACGCTTTAACCGACTGCGCCACCCAGGCGCCCCCCAAAATTATTTTATATTTCACCAGTCTGATAACCTTTGATAGCCTGCCATTTATTTTATTTGTTATTTTGTTCACTTCTTAGAGAAATGGACCAAAGACTGTTTACAGCTTCTCTTATACACTCCTCAGAAAAACTGAATAAAGAGTTGCATTTCCCAAGACATATTTTTGTGTAAAGAAAGACAGGCTGAGGAGGAAGATCTGTACAAACCAAATGGAAAAAGAGATTTTGGACACATACTTTCAAGGCAAACCCGATCTTTTCAGTTACCTGGTGGATACTTTGTATTACCTGACTAATTGTGAGGAAACAGACCTGGTTTCAGAATTTTGCCAGCAGGCCTTGGGAGAGGGAATGAGTCCAGTTGTTTGAAGTTCCTTTCTTTCCTGTCTTTTTTGCTGTCTCTGTCTTTGTTTCTGTGCTTCTTTCTTCCTTTCCTTTTTTTTTTTTTTTAACATATGTAATTATCATAACAGAAGCAGTAAATGTGCATTGTGGAAATGGAGGCTGAAAAGTCACATTTTCATCACCCAGAGATCACTGTTAGTACCTTAGTGCATATCTTTTCTCTATACATACATTTATAATTTTAAAATATAAGTTGAGATCATACTGGTTATACTGTTCTGTAATCTGCTTATTTTTATCGACGATCTCATCTAATACCCAGTCCAGAATCCTATTTTTTCCCAATTGACCCCTAAATGACTACAATTAATTTGCTCAAAGTAGTGTCTAGTTCAGGACCACACAACCTTGGCTTAGATGCTTAAGTCTATTCAGTTCTGACACAGTTATTTTGTTGTTTAGGGTTATTTCTGAAAACAAGTGTGTATACACACACATACCACATATATACTTTCATATGTATGTATACAGTTATTTGGGGGTTATTTTACCTAAGCAAGGTTATAGATTCAAATTGGTTAGAATGTGGACTCTTCCTTCACCGTAGAGCACGTTAATGTCTACCAAGAATGAGGTAACCTTTCTTTCTGTCTTTCTGTCTTTTCTTTTCTCTTTCTTTTTCTTTCTTTCTTTTTTTTTTTTTTAACTTAAATTTTAGTTAACATTCGATGCAGTATTGGTTTCAGGAGTAGAATTCAGTGATTCATCACTTACATACAACACCCAGTGCTCATTGCAAGTGGTAAGGCAATATTTCTGTATGTTGGTATTCTTAACCTAACTGAGCCATGTTTTAGAATACAGCTAGTTGCAAAAAATAAGTTATTTGGAATCTATCAAATACTTGATTGCTTAGAAAATCATATTAAAAAGAAGAATAGGACCTTTATCACATGTGAAATATTGTATTTATTACTAAAAACCCAGTTTTTTTAGCTGGCAGTTTCATTGTAAGAGAAACTTAATTTTAAGTATTTGATTGCAAATGTGACTGTGCTTCCTTGTGTGATCATAGGGGATAAGTCTGAAATTTTTCAGTTAGTACTTTAATAATTTTTGTTGTGACTATAGCATTTCAATGTGAAGAACTCAATTTCCTTTAATAGCCTGCAGTAGTAACTTTACAGCAAAAGAGAGGTTTATACTCACCAGTTCTGATCATATCTTTTTCTACAGATGGCTACGAAGGAAACGGATCGAAAAACTAGCAGAGCAACAAGCTGTCAGAGAAAGAACTAGACAGCTCCGACTAGAAGCAAAGCATTCTAAACAATTGCAGAGCCACCTACATATGTCAGAAGCCAAAGCTTTTCGTTTTACTGATCATTACAATTGAAAGTATCTTAAATACTTCATTTGGAAGCTGCTACCCTCAGAATTTTGTATATCATTTCTAATGGCCTGTGCTTTGGTCATACTTGAAATTATGGAAATGCTATTTATCTTTTGGTGATACTGACAGTGAATTTATCTTTTTTTAACACTAAACAAAATAAATTTCTTCCCTCGCATTGCTGTATTGTGTTATACCATAGACCGTGCAACAAATTGAACAACAAATGAACGGTAGATTCCTTTACTTGTAATTTATTGGCATTTCTAGCTGGAAAGAACATAAGAAAGGGACAAATTTCTATTCTTGGTCTCTCTTATTATTAAAAAAAGATGGCAATAGAACATTTCATAAGGCTGTAGTGACCTCTTAAACAAGCCTGGTTCAAGGCCTTAAACAAAATCCTGCCTATGACAACTTTGAGTTTGAATAGCTGTGGCAAAAGCTGAGGAATAGGGTGGGCTTACTTCCTCATGTTCTTTACAAAATGAAGATAGTAATTATGCATCCAATTTTGGTATGTTACAAAATTAGCTGGCTCTTGTTTAGAGTTTATGGTGTACGTGGTATTGTTGGAGATGCTTTATGTAAATCATTGGCTTTAATCCTTGTAACAACCCTACTGGTCTTGTTTTGCAGATGAGGAAACTAAAGTATAGAGGGGAGCGGTTTGCTCACAGGCTGTGATCTGCATGATTGCAAAATCTTTTCTCTGAGGCATGTTATAAAGTTTACATACCTTGGTAGATATGGTGAAATATTTAAGACTAAGACTATACAGGAATCTGACACGTGGAGGAACAGTACTCAATATGCGTAAGAGCATTTAAAGGGTGGAGGACAAAGGCACCCATACAAGTGTGATTGGAGACTGGAGAATCAGTGTAGGAGTTCTGTTAAAGCTTCAAAAGACACGGCTCTTGTCAACTGGGTATTCGTACTTTAATCACTCGACCCTAAATGAGAAAACACAGAATCATTGAATCCTGTCTCAACTTCTTATGGCACTTTCAGCATACACCAGATAATTTAAAATTCCGTTATAACTAGTTTGGGTTGCTTACAGTTATCGTTAATGAGACAAAGCAACTTAACATTTGAATATTCCACAACAGTTTTACAAAAAAGGCTGTTGGAATTTTGATAGAGATCACAGTGAACCTATAGATTGTTTTGGGTAGTACTGTCATTTTAATAAAATTACCTTCCAACCCATAATAGCACAGATGTCTTTTCATTTAGTGCAGCAACATTGCTGCAGTTTTCACTGTACGAGTCTTTCACCTTCTTGGTTGAATTTATTTACAGATATTTTATTCTTTTGGATTCCACTGCAAATGAATTGTCTTCTTAATTTGCTTTTGAGTTGTATATGCAAATACAAACAAATGAATTTTTGCATTGATATACTGTGAAATGTTGCTGAATTTATCAGCACTAGAGTTTTTGTAGATTTCTTGGAATTTTCTACATATGGGATAACATCACCTGCGAATGGAGATAGTTTTACTTCTTCCTTTCCAAATTGGATTCCTTTTCTTTTTCATGACTGATTACTTTGGCTAAGACTTCCAGTATAGTGTAGAATAGTGGTGATAAAAGTGGGCATCCTTGTCTTGTTCTTGATCTTAAAGGGAAAGGTTTTAGTCATTCACTATTGAGTATGATGTTAGCTGTGGGGTTTTCCATAAATGCTTATAAAGTTGAAGTTCTTACCATTCTATTCTACTTATTCCTATTCTTTGGTCCCTATTTTTCTGAGTGCTTTTATCATAAAAGAGTGTTGGATTTTATCAAAAGTTATTTCTGCATCAAGTGAAATCATCATGTAGTTTTTCCCTTTTGTCCTCTTATATGATGTGTGTATATCCTATATGTATGATATACACATTGTGTGTGTGTATGATCTACTACATTGGTTGATTTTCTTATGTTAAACTACCCTTGCATTCCTGAGATAAATACCACTTGGTCATGGTATATAATCCCTTTACTGTGCTGTTGTAGTTTGCTGGGAATTTGTTGAGGAACTTTTTCATCTATATTCATAATATATGGCGTTGGAAAGTTGTTGTTGTTGTTGTTGTTGTTGTTTTTTACCGATTTAATCTGTTATAGGCCTGTTCACATTTTCTATTTCTTCTTGTGTCCGTTTTGGTAATTTGTGTGTTTCTAGGGATTTGTCCACTTTCATCTAGTTTATTTGTTGAAGTACTATTATTCCTTTTTGTTTGTTTTACTTATTTGAGGTTGGTAATAATTCCCCCACTTTCATTTCTGATTTTAGTTATTTGCATCTTCTTTTTTTCTTAGTCTGGCTGTAGGTTTGTCAATTTTGTGGGTCTTTTCAAAGAACCAATTTTCTATTTCCTTGATACTGTTTTTATGTTCTCTATTTTATCTCTGCTCTAGTTTTGATTTCCTTTGTTCTGCTAGCTTTGGACTTAAGTTTGCTCTTTTTTTTCTAGGTCCTTAGGTGTGATGTTAGGTTGTCGATTTGAGATCATTTTCTTTCTTTTTCTTTTGTTTAGCTCAATTGTTATCTTTATTATTGTTACTATTCTTGACATTCTTAAGCCAACCATTGCAGAAGTGTGCTATTGGCTTGTGGTTATGAGTATATGCACAATTTTTTGTGTGATAAAATATATATAACAAAGCTTACCATTTTGGCCATTTTTAAAATGTATAATTCAGGGATATTAAGTATATTCATATTGTACAACTATCATGACTTGCCATCTTCAGAACTTTTCATCATCCCAGCAGACTCTGTAATAATTAACTCCCTGTTCTGCCTTCCCTTGACTCCCCATAACCACTATTCTACTTTCTGTCACTATGAATTTATTTCACATACCTACACTTTGTCCTTTTATTTCACTTAGTGTAACGTATTAAAGGTTCATTTATGCTGTAGCATATACCAGATTTTCAGTCCTTTTTAAGGCTAATATTCCACTGCACATATATACTACATTTTGCTTATCAATGGATAATCGAATGGATAAGGATGAATGCATCCATCAAAGGACACCTATGTTACTTTCACCTTCCTTTTGGCTACACGAATAATGCTGCTGTGAACACTGGTATACAACTATTTGGGTCCTTGCTTTCAATTCTTTTGGGTGTTTACCTACAAGTGAATTGCTGGATCATATGGTAATTCTATGTTTGATTTTTTTTTAAATTTTATTTTAGAAAGAGAACGTGAGCTGGAGAGGGGCAGAGGGAGAGAGAGAATCCCAAGCAGAGCTCGGGATTCTCGACGCAGGGCTCCATTCCACGACCTGAACCGAAATCAAGAGTCTGATGCTCAACCGACTGAGCCACCTAGGTGTCCGTGTTTAATTTTTTGAGGAACTACCATACTGTCTTCAACAGTGGTTGCACCATTTTACATTCTCACCAATAACGTTCAAGGGTTCTAATTTCTCCACATCCTTGTCAATGCTTATTTTCCTTCTTTGATAAGTGGCCATTGTAATGGGCATGAAGTGATACTGATTAATGATGTTGAGAATCTTTTGATATGTTATTGGCATTTTGTACATCTTTGTTTAGGAAATGTCTCTTCATGTCCTTTGCCCATTTTTTAATTAGGTTGTTTGTTTTTTGGTTGCTGAGTTGTAGACCTTTATTCTGGACACTAGACCTTTATTAGCCATATGATTTGCAAATATTTTCTTTGGTTCTGTAGGTTGCCTTTTCATTTTGTGGATACTGTCCTTTGATTAAAAAGTTTTTAATTTTGATGAAGTTAACTATTTTTTTCTCTTCTTGCCTGTGCTTCTGGTGTCATATCCAAGAAATCATTGCCAAATCCAATGTCATGAAGCTTTTCCTCTATGTTTTCCTCAAGTTTTATGCTAAGTAAACCTAAAGGAAAGGCTGAAGAATCAACTATAAATAGTATAAGTTAGAGGAAGACTTGCACATTAAATCAATATACAAAATAAAGAATGTAGAGAAATTTATTGCCATTTCAAAGTATAACTCTGATGAGTCAGACAAAAAAAACCCATTAAGTTGACATTAAAATATGTTATTTAACCAGATTTGTCTTCAGAAGATTTCTCTTTTGATAGACAGTTCTGCACCTACTATGGTGTAATCTGGTGGAAACATATTGTAGATATTTTTAAAGACCTATAAAAAGGGTGTTTTATGATGGTTCATCATAAACAATTATTAATTAATTGATGGATTTCATTTTTCATTTTGTACAATGTTCCAGAAAGATTCAACTTTCTCTACCACATTTCATATCAAATTGGATATTCCTACTGTGTTGCATTTGTCAAAATGAGCTCAGTGGAATCTGTTTTCTTTATATATGTCAAGTTGCACCCATTCAAGCTATGGCATTCCCCACACAAAACCAACATAATATGTTTTGCTGAAACACTTGCTAATATGCTGGTAAAATACTTTTAATTTTCCTAACATGTAGCATTTGGTTTTAAAATATTAGTCCCTTCACCCATAGTATTTCCATGAGCCTCCTTTGTAGTCCCAACAAAATCACCAAAAAGGGAATGGACACTCCCTCCACCCATCCCCCTGGCTATTATTCCTTGAGAGTAGGGGCCAGAAAACTTTCTGTAAAGGACCTGATAGGAAATATTTTAAGCTCTGCAGGCCATACAAGCCCTGTTGCATCTATTCGATTGTACTGCTGTGGTGTAAAAAAACAAAACAAAAAACCAGAAAATAACCAGAGACAACAGTAAATGAGTGGTGTGGTCGCATATGACCCACCTTGCATTAAGAGTACCAAAAGTTAAGTCTGCTCATATTAAATACACAGCATGATATAACTTAGGGCTTAAAATAAAGGTGGAATCTTTTTCTTTCAGAGTCCTTTAGGAAAAGCATCATACAGTGCCTGCAAAGTTATCATCTCCTTTAAATATAGCTACACAGTTTCCTTCTTTTCTTACCCTGAGATACTTCTTAAGAAAGGGTAATCTGTGGTCCAGTACATAAAACATCTTTGGGGATATAGATTACGTAAATAGAAAGTGATATCACTTCTACCACTGTAAGAACTCCAGCTCCCAGAGAAGCAAGTGCCTGTGGCGTGCCTCCGACACACTGAATGTTAAAGGACAATAAGTTCTCCCTGGCAGTGGTTGCAGCAATTGAAAGTTATGTTTTCATATCTAGTATAGGGATGAAATCGTCCAATATTTTTCTTTGTAGCAAGTAAGGTGGTTGGTGAAGACTCAGAAAACGGGTTGTCAGGTGAGCTTTCTGTACAGGTAACTGGATCCAAAATGCGTAGAACCTAGGGAAAACAAGAAGTAATGTCAGATGAATGCATTAGGGACTGTAAAAGCCCTTGGCTTTATTGATTAATATAAGTACTTATAAAACCCCATTTCATTCACATGTAACTACCAGAAAAAATAACATCTGAATGATGAATTTGATTGGTTAGAGAACTTATCCCTTTTCAAAAAGCTCTAAATTATGAACGGTGTCTAGTTATGACATTACCTAGGTTGCCTAGTTTTCAAAAATGAAATTAATGTTCTTTAATGGATATTGGTGAAAAAAGCATGAAAACACAGAAGAAAATATGATGGTTATATCAATTTAAGTGGCATCAGTTTTTACCCTTAACCAAAAAGCACCCACCACCTTCCTTCTATGATCTTTCATTAACTGCCTGGAATCAGGATTCTGCATTCTTCTACTGAAATCGTATTTCGAAGTTTATAATGAGTTACTTGTAAAATCAATGGCTTTTCATGCCTCTGTTTCTAGTTTATATGCAACATTTTATGCTAACAATCATGTTCTTGTTCATGTTCTTGTTCATGTTCTTGGATGTCATAGAACCGTGCTCTCTGAATTCTTCTGCTCTGACATGTCCTGTTCTATGACCCACAACAGGAGGAACCTTCGGGTTGAATACAATTCTCCAGTGAAGGGCAAGGATAACACGCTTACATTCGCCCAGCCATATTCACAGGAGGATGGGTCGTGGTCCAAACGAGGTAGGCACTGCAGTTGGAAAGGAACTGGGAAAAGCAGCAGGGGAAAGAATGTTCTTGCTTTCTTGTGCAAGCCTGTGCCTTATGTAAGGAGCTTCCAGATGTGGTTGGATGTGCCTGTCTCTCTCTCAAGCTGTCCAGCAGGTTTTTTTCCTTCTAAGTTACCAACATACCCAAAGGACTAGAGCTAATTTAAGAATGTCCTGGCAC